GCCATGGGGCCGGCCCGGGCCGCCCGCCTCCGCCGCCCCGTTGCCTCGGCCGCCGCCGCCGGGGGAGGGCGCGCCGGGCGTCAGTGGCCTGGGGAGGCGCGGCGCCGCGGGCGGGGGCGCGGCCTCGGGGGCCCGGGCCCGAGCGGGGGCCGGCGCGGGGGCCGGGGCTGCGGCCGCCTCGCCCGCCCCTCCATCGCCATCTTGGGCGAGCGGCCGAGGGGGCGGGGGTGGCGTCTGGCGAGCGCGGCCGCCCAGGCCCCGCCGGAGACCCGCGCCGGGCACCGCGACCCTGCACCGCGCTGGCCTCCCCTCTGCTGGGGTCTGCGCCCCGTAGCCTGGCCCTCTCTGGGTCGCGTCGGGCCCCTGTTGGGCCGCTTGTTTCTCGGTCTGTCTCTTACTCTGTCTCTGGGTCCGCGGGTCTCTCTGCCTTGGTGTCTCCGTTTCTTTAACCTGTCGCTGCCTCCGGGTCTCCCCCATCTCGGTTCCAGGCTACATGGAGGCAGATGCAAGGACTGGGTCTCTGTCCTGATGGCCCCGTCTTCCCTTCGAAGCCCAGTCGATCCCAGCCCAGGTCCTGCCCTGAACCCTGGTTGGCCTCTCCACTCGCTGTACCGACAGGTCCACGGAGAAGACGGTTCCCTCCTCGGGCCATTTCCATCGCCATCCAAGCTGAGGGCTTCTGCTGCTGCTGCAGTGACCAGCCCAGGCAGGGCATTTCCCCAGCCCCAGCCCTGTCACAGTCAGAAGTCTCTGCAAACCTGAAAGGGACAAGGAAGGTTTGATTGCTTTCATTTCACACATAGGGAAACTGAGGCTGGAGGAGGCGAAGACTTGCCCAAGGACATGAGGTCCAGGGGCAGCAGATGCCGGACCAGAACCCTGGTTTTCTGACCCCAGAAGGTCATTTCCCACTCATTCTGCAACGGTGCCTTCTCTGTGCGAGCCAGACTGGCTGCCTCAGGATCCCACAGATATTTCTTGTTCTAAAGCCAGGGATTCCATCTTCAGGCTAGGGTGGGGAGAGGAGTGCAGATTGAATGACCTGTTTAAGGTCCCTTCCAAACCAAGATGCTGTGGTTCTTTATTCCCTATGTTTCCAGGGTTCCCATGACTTAGAGCCATTTTGTCTCTGTGCCCAGTAGGTGCCTTACCCACCTGTTGCTAGGTAACCCTTAATAATGACCTCTACTTTGCAGATCTAATGGGATCTGGCCTTTATTTATTCGTTCATTGCCAGGCCCATCAGCAGCATTTGACTTAGCCAATCACTCCCACTTGCTTCTCTTAGTGATGTTATCTGGTCATCAAGTCTTTAAGTGACACCTTTGTACTGAAGATGCCTAAATGTAGGCCTCCAGGCTGGACCATGACCCCTGAACCCCAGACGTATCCAGCTACCTGCTCAACATTTTCATTGGCTGTCTAATAGGCCTCTCAAATTTAACTTGTCCAAAGTTGAGCTCCGATCTTCCCTATTAAACCCTCCCACAGTTTGCCCATCCAGTTCCTAGCAGCTCCATTCGTCCAGTTGCTCAGGTGCAAAACATTGGAGTTATCCTTGACCCTTCCTTTTCATATCCTTCCTGCTCTATCTTCCCACGACCACCTTGATCCAAGCACCTCTTACCTGGATTGTGGCAGTAGCCTCCTCACAGGTCTCCTTGTTTCTGTCCTTATCTCTCTTCTGTCTTTTCTCAAAACAGAATAAAAAGTGATTCTGGCCTTAGTCGGTGTTGCTTGGTGGTTAGAGGATTGCTGGTTCAATTCCCGGTCAAGGTCATGTACCTGGGTAGCAGGTTCATTCCCTGCCCCCAGTCGGGATGCATGAGGGAGGCAACCAGTCGATGTCTCTCTCTCTCCCCTCCCCCGACTCAATTCTTCCTACCTTCCACACTTTCTGAAAAGCAATGGAAAAAATACCCTCAGGTGAGGATTAACAACAACAACAAAGTGATTCTGTTAAAATGTGAATGAGATCGTGTCATTTCTCTGCTCAACACTTACCAGGACCTCCTAGCTCAGAGCAAAAGCCAAAGTCTGATCTGGAGGCCTGTTTTACCTCTCTGACCTCCCCTCCCACACCATCCCCTTTGTTCACCACCTCTCAGGCCACACTAGCCTCCTGGCTGTAACTTGATCATGACCAGACCCCTCCCTCCTGCCTCCAGACCTTTGCCCAGCTAGTGCAAGTCTGAAATTCTGTCCCCCACCCTCCCGTCCTCACACCTTCCCCACTCTCCCTATCTCGCTTCTTTCTAACATGCTCCACATTTTACTTATGGTCTGTCCCCCCCAACCAGAATGTGGGCTTCATGAGGACTGGGATTTTGGTCTGTTAGGTTCACTGCTGAATTCTAAGCAGCTAGACCAGTATCTGGGACTGTGTGGGTGCCAGTGGCCAGGATAAAAGATACAAGTCACTACCCACAGGGACAATAGTATCCAAAGTGGCATGGGGTAGCTGGGAGGATGGGAGCAGGAGAAGGAGGGTGTGGTGGGGTGTTGAGGAAGAAGTCTTCACAGGACTGTTGATCGTTGTAGATGTTTGACCAGGGTCTTGACCATTTAAGGAGGATAGAACCAAAGGGGTGAAGGAAAGAAACACCGTCTGCAGAGGCCCTGTGGTGTGAGAGCACCGTAAGTATTCCAGAAATGGCAGGGCCAATAATTAACCGCACGGACAGTCATGGGCCACCTGTAATGGGTCAGGCCTGCTCTGGGCACTGGGAACACAGTGGTGAACTTGGTTCTTGCCGGCACAACACTTGATCTAGTGAAGGAAACAGACAAGGAGAAAGGCAGCTGTAATACTGTATGATTCAGGCGGTGATGGACCACAGGAAGGAGAGGCGCCCTGGCCAGACTTGGGGGGAGGCAGAGAAAGCTTCTGGTGAAAACAAATACCTGAACCCAGTGTAAGCAAAATGTAAGAAGTGTAAACTGGGCAGGAAGGAGGACAGGGGTGGGAGAGGAAGCCAAGCAGGGAAGCTGGGACCAGATGGGGAAGGCCTTACATGTTGCCTAGAACAGCGGTCACCAGCCGGTGGTCTGCGGACCACTGGTGGTCCGTGAGGTCCGAAAGGTTGGCGACTGCTGGCCTAGAAAGCAGTTGATGATTTCACTCTCAATTGAATGAATAAAAGAACAGACAAGGTGTCACCATATAGTGTTACTAATTCCACAAGCCACACACAAAAATCCAGTTCATTTCTGTCTTCATATCTCAGCACACAGGTGTGGAGTGGGTTGACAGGGTCAGGGCCAGCCAAATCCAGTGTAAGGAATAAGAGCCACGGGTCCTGTCCTAGCTCTGCTACCGATATGCTATGTGACTTTGGGCAACTTCTTTCCTCTTCCTGGGCCTCAGCTTGGTCAGTGAGAAAAACAAGAGGGCTGGGGTATGATGCACATTTCTCAGCAGGAGTTCCAAAGACTTCACACCATTAAAAGTGGATATGGCACTTGTTTTAATTTCTTTCTTTTTAAACCAATTCATAAAATATTCTTATTTCCCCCCCTTCAAATAGTACCACGGAATGCCTCCAAATGTGTATGGGGTGCTCGTGTAGAGGGCCGTGGAGGACAGTGAGCATGCCCAATGAACATCATTATCCACTGTCATGGCTCTTAACATTAAACGGCTTAGTTATAGCCCTAGCTGGTTTGACTCAATGGATAGAGCGTCAGCCTGTGGACTGAAGGGTCCCGGGTTCAATACCGGTCAAGGGCACATGCCCACATTGTGGGCTCAATCCCCAGTAGGGGGCATGTAGGAGGCAGCCTATCAATGATTCTCTCTCATCATTGATGTTTCTATCTCCCTCTCCCTTCCTCTCTGAAATCAATAAAAATATATTTTTAAAAATAAAAATAAAAACAGCTTAGTTATGTATACATTGTTTCATTTATAGCCTTGTTGGATCATAAAAAAATACATGACAGGAAGTATAAGAAACACTGATGCTGAGGAGAAAATGATAATTTTGCAAATTTGCCTCAAGTTGACAGAAAAGAATATTATAGTCTTCTAATCAAAAGTCATTAGTCATTCATATGTCAAAAGCCAATGTTTAAAAAAATAAAATCTAGTGATAATTTAATCTAATTTGGCTTTTTGTGTACCAGAAAGGCAAACCTATTGTATTTACAATGTTATTTGTGAAGAAATACTTCCCAGTAGATGGAAATATTTTATTTCACATTTTAGAAATAAAACTAAAAAAGACTTTAAAAAATTATTATAGCACAAAATGGAATCAGATCATGAAAGCAATTTTTGCCTATTTTTGATTCTGTGGTTAAATTTCAGGACCCCCAAATATATGGTCCCCAAATTTGATAAAATAGTTTTATTGACAAATCATGCTTTTTTTGCAATTAATTTAAAATTAACATGCATCCTTTCTTAAATGGGGAAGAGGGTTTTCTAACTCATCAATTTAATTAAATATATTTAAATGTCCTTCAACTAACTATATACTGTTATACATTATCATTTTCTTTGAGACAATTCTAAGACAGAAGTAACATCTTGGGGATAGCTCAATATAGGGGTTGGGAGACTGGGAAAAGGCAAGAGGATTACAGTTTTCATTGGTTTGACCAGGTGGATGGGATGTTATTGAACAAAGAGAACATGGGGAGAGTGAGACAGAGGAGAGGGAAGATAATTTGCTTGTTCAACATGCTGAATCTGAGGTGCCTTCATGGCATCTGAGTGAAAATGTTAACAGGAACGGGAATGTTGTTTTGATCTGAGCAGAGAGGTCAGAACCAGATAAATTATTTTGTGAGCTGGTGCTTCTCCTATCTAAACACCTAATGCACTTTACTGTCATATTCTTTACTGAACTGTCTGGCTCTACTGCTAGACAGTAAGCTCCTGTGGCAGGGACCATGTGGATCCTACTCACAATGAATGCTTTTTAAAATGTTACTCCTTTATCATATGCCATGCAAAAATGATGAAAATTTTAAATCACTAAGGGTGCTCTCAGGAGAGCATATTACTGTGAAGGGGTTTGGGCAACAAAAAATGTTGGAAAGCACTGGCCTGAGACTTCTAAGACCTCGGTAGGCTCTGTGACTCTAAATCAAGAATGTGTGGACCACTTGCTCTGTAGGACCAGCAGATTTAATGGCTGTGGCACCCATATCATTCTAGAATAGGTAACAGCCTCCATCACAGTGGTGGTTTAAAAATATGTGTACAAGTTCTTTGACACAACATCTCCCTCCAACAAATAGACTCTACTTTCCCTCCCTTTGGACATAGGCTGGGCCCTAGTGACTCATTTCTAAAGGATAGAATGTGGTGAAAGTGATACTGTGTGGATTCTTAGGTTTGTCATGAAAGAAGACACAGCTCCCACCTGGCTTTCTCTGAGGAGACCATGTGAGGAGATGGCATGGAGGTAGAGAGGCTGTTCCACTGGGAGGTGCCGCCTTCCCGGTGTCCAGTCCGGCCACTGTCTGAC